GAGAGCGCATTTTCTCGTCGACGAAAACTTGAGGTCACGGACGGACGGACAGACCGACGGACAGACAGCCGGACGGACAGACGGACGGACATGGCGAGCACAATAGTGCATTTTTTCCATAAATGAGAAAATGCGCTAAAAATGAATAAGCAAGTGATCTGAAGTGCCATGTTCTGGCTTCGTCGACAGCGTAGGGCGGAGAGGGGGGAGGGGGGTTCACAGATGGCTGCTAACACTCAGAAAGATGAATGGGTCACATTGTGCAAATAGAGACACTTCATGCACGTAGCACAGATCCGCCATTTCGTTGATCAAAAATGGGTCACAAGGGCAAAAAAAAGCATTGTAATTGGATAACGTCTAACTAATTGCTCTGAGTGACGGCACACACGAGAGCTAGACTTCTTTGACACAAATTGTGTCGTGAGGCAAGATGACACAAATTGTGTCGTGAGGCAAGATGACACAAATTGTGTCGTGAGGCAAGATGACACAAATACGGTCATGGTCATAGTCAGTAGCGGTACAGTGACGGTCATAGTCAGTAGCGGTACGGTCATGGTCATAATCAGTAGCTGTACGGTTCCGGTAATCATCAGTAGCGGTACGGTCATGGTCATAGTCAGTAGCGGTGCGGTCATGGTCATAATCAGTAGAAATAAGAAATTCGAGTGATTTAAACTGATGGATTTCCAACTTTGATTGTATTACCCATTTCCTGTGCTATAGATTTCATTTTACTAGAGATTGAAAATTTGCATATCGACATGAACGCTCCATTGATTGCATTGTTGTTTGAATTGTGTTGTTTATGCATTCGTTTGCTTCACATTTTGAAACGCAATTAAGATTATTTCTCCGTAATCATCGTAACGCATGCCATTTATTTAGGACCAGCTTAACAATATTATATGACTGACAATATGTATTGTCAGTCTTGGCCTTTTAAAAGTCACTCCAGCACCAGAGAAGCGCTTTGAAAGCTGAGTGGAGCGCAAAGTGTGTGTGGGGTGGGGGGGAGAGAGGATGTTTACCGCGGACCCACAGAAGATTTATTATCATAGGACAGGCCTGCCTTTCCTGGCAAGTACGACAACGGAGGGGCAAATCTCGATTAAATCTACGGAAAATTCACGGACCTGTTGTTAAAAACGAATATAACTACCACCAGAAAATTTATTCAGAAATGCTTGGTATAGCGATCAATGAAGAATAACGAGTTAAACAAACTGATATCGCGAAAATGTTAGAAAAGTCGCTCGTTTTACGATCCTCATGGTTCAAAATTTTCGTTAGCGATAACACTGGTAATACAAAGTTTACATAATTTATCTTAATGTCCACAGGTTTAAAATAATTAGCCATAATAGCATTCCAAATTTCAGATTTTTATCTTATTAATGAGGGGAGTTATCTGTCGAATTCATAGTTAAGAATTTCCATAGACGAGTAAGACGACTACCGCGGCTGAGCGCGTCCACGGGCCTCTTAAACCCCCGAAAAACCTTTCTTCTATGGTTTTCAAACCATGGAACCCATATTCTATGGTTTTCAAACAACGGGTTTGCCTTTAAAACCCCAAGAAACCCTTATCCTATGGTTTTCAAACCATGGAACCCTTATTCTATGTCTTTCAAACCATGGGTTTGGCTTTAAAACCCCGAAAAACCCAATTCTATGGTTTTCAAACCATGGAACCCTTATTCTATTGTTCTCAAACCATGGGCTTGGCTTTAAAACCCCGAAAAACCCTTATTCTATGGTTTTCAAACCGTGGAACCCTTATTCTATGGTTTTCAAACCATGGGTTTGGCTTTAAAACCCCGAAAAACCCTCATTCTATGGTTTTCAAACCATGGATTTGGTTTGAAACCATGGTTCAAGCAATGTATAATTGTATTATACAAGGAGAATGTGGGAGCATACTCAGAGGAACAAGGGGAGCGCTTCCATCAAGATATGATGGACATTGAATACAGATATCAGGGATCTTACAATGAAAACATGATGGGAGACTACATTTGGGGTCTTACTCGGGAAAGTAATTTGTTGCATGCTCGTAGATCTAGAAAGACTGTTCATTTTTAACTTTGTAAACTTATTCAAGAAGGTTTAAAATAAATTTCATATTGTATGTTTTTGTTTTATGTCCAAAAATAACACGAAAGGGTGAAATTTGGCCATTTTTTGTCAAAATTTCATTCTGTAAGCTACAAAAGCGAAGTTTAAAAGGAATAATGGCCATTTTCTATTGTTTCGTAACAAAATGAGTTGGAAAATAACACTTACTTGCCAGGAACAAAAATTGTGTTACATAGTGTTATCTGAACTTATTTTGCTATATTTTAAAATCACTGGATGCTTCAAGGCATGGAAATATGATTTAGGAGTGCAAGAGGAGAAATACTTGATAAGTACGTGGCAGTAAAAAAATTAATGCCTATAGCTCCCTTAGATAAAATTGAAATCCATATCATAACATACATAACTAATAAGTATGCTGTTAATTGGCATGAAAAGCAATAGATGAACGTTCGGTTTTTCAATCAGGGCCTACAAGTTTTTTATTAAACATTAGGCCGCTATTATTTGGGAACTGCATGATATTGTGATGACAGTGCACTGCCTGATGGCAGGCATTGAACAATATACCTTAAAGTATCATGGCACCTCGCTACTTTTTTAACAAATTATTAAAAACTATATTCGGTGGTTCAAACGACATCGATGACAAAACTTACTCCATGCATTAAGTTTTTATTTCATATAGGTACTTAATTCTGTTCGCTGCGTAAAATTTGTTGTTAGACAAGCAAAACGTTTAACCCCCACCCATTATACTCCATTAGTTGGGGGGTTCCCACTATTCCGGTTTGGGTCTTTGCAGGGGGCCTGATTAGACGCCGAGACTGTAGTGCTGGGCGCGGGCTACTGCCTGCTTGCGCAGTTGCCTAGGTATGAAATTATTAGCTACTATGATGAATCTGCGCAATGTTGAAATGGTTGACGTTGAGCCCTGTAGATGCACTAGGCTTTTTGCAATTATTTTAGGAGAACTTTGAGGACTGATTTAAGTGATTATTGCCGGAGAATGCTTAACAGTATAGGCGAATGTTTTGTGATGGCGAATATGAGAGAAGCTTTAATACTGGTTACGGTGAGAGAATGTTTCGCACTCCCGTACGTGGAAAATGTGAGGTACCCGCAATAGGTATGAATGAAAGTGATAGAATGTTTCGGACATGGATAATGGGGGAGGATATTGAGCTGTATTGAATATTGAACAATGTTGATTGTTGAGTACTAGTGAAAGTTAGAGAATGTTTTAATGTCGGTAACGCGAAAGATGGGGTTGAAAGTTGTAATAACTGATATTATTACAAGTTTAAATTCGTGTTTCTAGCCAATTTGCTTCATTGTGCCGCGGTAATACATTTCTTTTATATTTTTCCGTCTAGTCTGCATATATATAGATAGCGTACAACAATTCAAATTCCCCTCCCTTCCCCCCCCCCATTAAGGGGAAGGGAGGAGGTATTTTTTAACGCACTTTTAAGATTCTGCCGTGTCTATTCGCCAAATGCGCGCGCCCCACGATCGCTCCAAGCTCGCTCGGTCTATGACCGGATTCTACTCAGACGCTTATTTCGCTAGCACAACCAGAGCATATAGCGGACATAGAGCCGCTCATTAACGCGCTGGGCGAGCTAAAGGTGTCTTTAACTCAGAAGTTGCCCACCCTCCCCTCAAAATTTCGATAGGGCTAGAGCCACTTGTTTTTGACGTTAGCTCCCACAACGAAACCAATCGATTATTCATCGGATATTCAGCGTTGCAATCAGTTTTGAATTGGGTAACGGTGTTCAGAATACTATCGTAGCTGTTTCGTAAGTTTTGAGAGCTGATGACTTGATCACTTGCTTAGAATGTTAAGAGCGATGTAGAGGAAGGCGCCCTGACGTGAGATTGTGAGACTTAGATACATGCATTTTCTGAAGAGAATTATGCGCCGATATTTGAGTCAGGCAAACTTTGAGACAGTGATGATCTGGGCTCTCACCAAATCCAATTAGGCCCATGCATCAACGGGATCATATACAGCTCGTGATTGTCCTTCAACCCAATCCTTATTCAATTTACAAAAGGAGTTCAAAGTTCACTGCAATAAACATTTGCTATTGCAAATTTCAAGAACAAACTCTGAACTTTCCTTCGTCACGACTCCGCACCAGGCAATAAACTAGCGTTTCTATACGGCGTACTTGAACCATCAGACGATTTCTCTAAACTTGAAATCCCTATATCAAAAATGTATCTTATTCAAAACACTAACAGCTAGAACTGATTGAAACTATTTATGCCCCAGGCCTTGAGATAAGTAGGCTAACTGTTCATTACTCGTTAATGAGTTGCTGGCCTCATATTTCAAGACAGAGATACTCAGAGGACGCTTGCTGGTGTGAACGACCATCATCTGCTAAGATTATCTCAGATATTTATTGGCAAAGGCTAGACTAGATAAAGCTTTGGAAAAATATATGTTCACACTCGACATCACTATGTTATTGTAATGATTTTTAGTTCTAGAAATTTTGAAGCAGATGTTCTGGCAACATCGACCAAAGTATTGGAAGGACTTGTTTTACGGTTTGACCATTCGTTGATCCTTACTGAAGACAGCCGCTGTGTTCTTGCTCTTGGTAAGCGTCTAGGTTCTCTAATTTGTAATAGAATAACTGTGATAATATGTTCAGAATATTGTGTACTTATCTAGTTATTAGTGCTTAATTAATTTAATGAAATGCGTGTTTATTTGTAGGAGAACTTCTCACCTCTGCTCTGTTCTGCTGTTCTACTATTCTACTTTAATAAACTTGGAACTTGGACCAAGCCTAATGACCCAAACACCCAATTGAAAGTTGCCGTCAATGAATTGATAAACTCGTCCGTTTGAACCTGAACTAATAGAAACATTACAGTTATGTTAAAGCCATTCTTACCCTCGACACAGGCAGGTCAACTGAGCAGATTAAGTTTGTAAGCATTCATACCTTCAGGCATCAAAAAGTCAGATCAGTTACTGGTTGAAAAAATATACGGTTCGGTCAGCAGATTCGTAGTGTACGTACTGGTTAAAGAAATTCATGCCTCCTCTCGTGAGAAGGATAAACATCCTGTTTCCCTTGACCCATGTCCCATGCTTAGGTACAGGCAACAGTGCAACGTAAGCATTGGTTGAACCTATTTATACCCTAGGCCTCCAACAATGAATTCCACAGACCGCAGACTAGCAAAAAATATACCCCCGATTGGTTCCACACGCATATCTTTCTATAGTTATTTGAAGCGATATACGCCTTGTGTTCTGAGATAGGCAGAATTAAATTCACATCAGCATATTTATGCCCCTAAACATAGTGTAAAGCAAATTTTTTGGCAAGTAACTTATGAAAATAATAGACCTCTAATTGAGCTGAGCAGACTTACATGGCACGTATTTGTTGAAGCGATTCTTGTGGATGTTGTCTGTGGTGAGCGCCTCGTCCACGTCACCCGTGGCACTCTCGTGCTGCAGACGTTCGAAGTGGAAGCCAAGAGTGTCGGAGGCTTGCAATGTATTGTATTATATTAAATATTATAATATATTATTCTAATTGCTGGAGCAATACACTAAATTAAACGATTTGAATAGTAATAAATATTTCACGATTTATTTTGTCCGAATTCATGAGGCCGTCAGAATTAAACACACCTTCCAACTGTAAACCGGCAATCAACCGCTTTTTTGAAAGAAACTTTTATTTTGCAACCCACTGTCTTTTTCTGGTTCAATTTTGACTGGAAGGAATAAAATATCGCTACGCATGACGCCGTAGTTAAACATCAGGGGCCATACTTTCAGAAATCGCGAAGTGAACGTAAGTACTTACGCTTTATTTTCTTGTCCATGATCGGTGGATTTTGTTTAACTTATTTTATGGTTTTCAAACCATGGGTTTGGCTTTAAAACCCCGAAAAACACATATTCTATGGTTTTCAAACCATGGGTTTGGCTTTAAAACCCCGAAAAACCCTTATTTTATGGTTTTCAAACCATGGAACACTAATTCTATGGTTTTCAAACCATGGGTTTGGCTTTAAAACCCCGAAAAACCCTTATTCTATGATTTTCAAACCATGGGTTTGGCTTTAAATCCCACTCATGGCAGAAATTTTCAGTCAATAATGGAACGTTCATTGTACATTTTTATTCAGACTGGAATGCGTGAACTACAGAAAACGTAGTATCAACATATGATATCACTTTGATCCCGAGGCTACGTGGAAATAAATGCAAATACTAATCGAGGAACAGCATAGGACTTCTCTTCATTGCAAAGAGTCGCAATAGTTAAATACACACACATGCAACTTAACGCACCGACTCCGCTAATTTAACAAACGGCTATTCTGAACTAACTTATATTCAGCGGACTGTAGATTCGCCTTATCTGAACCAGCCAAATTATTTACCAAAATCGTCTGAACACTTTCTTTCTCCTAGCCCATCCGCACTCACATTTACGTGTGTCATCAAACGAACGCGTATCTTGGCTTGCTTAGCGGGAAACAAAGGCGTTTATCAGCCGGACTGAAATGCGGAGCCTCATCAAACGAAGCAGCCGACAACGCAGGTAAGAATAAAATAATTTAACCAAACGAACGTTAATACCTAATGTTGAGGCGAATTAATGTGTAATATAGTACATGTTAACCTAATATAAGATAATGGATCGAAATGGAGATTTCGTATTCGTTGCCTTTTTTAATAATATGAATTTTACAAAACAGTCGTGTATGAAATGACGGCAAGTGCAGAGTGAATACGGCAGAGGTTTGATCTAGGATCGAGGTTTTGTTAATTTTCGTGCAGTTTTAAATAAATTAAGAATTTCAACGGCTTACATTAAACCAAGTGTTGGTATTTATTCCTTATAAGTGCTGTATATGGCGCTGCATAGCGCAAACACTGCCAATAGCGTACATCAAATCGATTTTAAGTACAATCACTGATTAAAGCTGTTGGGTGATGCATTACATATAGGTTACAGAAGATTTATATGAACTCAATTGATTGCGATTACTCTTGTATACTGTAGAAGAAAGCTTTAAATTGTAGACTCAGAAGCAAATTTTAACTCAGAATATCATATCGACCAGCCAGTGACCTAGTTCAGTCATCTCAAGTTGCACAATACCGATCCCACTTGCGAGTATCATGCACCTGAACGAAGACTGGATGAAAGTAAGCGAGTGGAGGTACAGGTGTGGCTGATGAAGCCAAGGTTCACAGGTGTGACGCTAGCGCACCTGTGTGGCTATGCGACCTGGGGCTACATGCGCTGCTGCCTCGGGGAGAGGGATTTTTATCATGAATATTAGCTAATTATCACAACATGAATATTAGCACAACATGAATATTAGCTAATTATAAAAATGATCATTTTTAAATCCCTTTGCTCACTGAGAACCTCTGGGGAGCCGTCCCAGTCCCTTGGAGGTGCGAGTTGGGGGGGTGGCGGATAGAAAGAGAAAGAGAGCATTAAGGAAAAAATAGTAAAAGGAAAGGAAAGGAAGATGGGTGGAACGAAAGCAAAAAGCAGATTTGTAGAGGGTAAAATAGAGGTATGAACACCGAAAATAATAAAATATAGGGAAGCCTAGTGAAAGAAGGTAAATTACATGTTGTCCGGAAATTGAAAGAGAAAACAAGCTTGCTAGAGGAATGGTGAGAGAAAAATAATGTGAAGCATGGAAAGAGACAAGGGAAAAGGGAACTATATATAGGCCACATTTGAATTCGAAGTTATGAAAAAAGTAGACGCAGTATGAAAACAGCAGGAAAAATAGGTATGCAAGGCATAATAATATACGTTTAAAAATTTCTTTTTGAAGACAACACTTCTAAAGAATCCAGTGTCTCCAATGTTACAGATGTAAAATGAATTTCTTGTTTGATTTTTGAATATTAAAAAAATTAATTTTTCATTTTTTGATATATAAATTTGCTTTCAAAATTATTTATTCTGTCAATTGATTCATGCATTGCCTCCGACTTCACACAAATGTGCAAAATTTCAGATCAATTGGGCAGGTAAAAGTGTGTCAAATACCAGTTATTAGATTTGTAGCTGACAAATTAATTTTTTACAATTTTTTAACATTGAAAAAAATCAATTTTTAAAATAATTTATTTTGTCATTTGATTCATGCATTGTCTCCAACTTTACGCGAGTAAGCCAAATTTCAGATCGATTGGACAGGTAGAAGTGTGTTAAATATTTATTATAAGATTTGTAGCAGACAGACAGACAAACAAGAAGTGAAGTTAAAGAGAAGTGTTGTAAAAAGTAGGATTGTTCTGATGACCAGTCAATAATGGAAACGAGCGGAAGAACTTGCAAAATAATTCAACACTGTGGCAATTTCTCAACTTTGGGGCTTGACCTAGCAATGCGAGTTATTCTATACTCTCCTGATGAGCTTGCGATCTTTTAACTTCTTTTGAAAGTATAGGCCCAGGCTGTACTGGTTAAGTTTTAGGGTAATTTAAATAAAAAATATTCGAATATTGAAAAGTAAAGACCTTAACAACTTTGCTCAGCTTTCCGTGCGTAATACAGCTAATAAGGGGAAAAATATAACTCAGTGCTCACTGCAGTGAGTGACAGAGAGCGCATTTTCTCGTCGACGAAAACGTGAAGTCACGGACGGACAGACAGACAGACAGACGGACATGGCGAGCACAATAGTGCACTTTTTCCATAAATGAGAAAATGCGCTAAAAACTGCAATGAAACTACGCAATTCAATCAAAAACTAATAGGAATCTTTCTTAACCTAATTTTTTGAGCAAATTTGCTCGGAAAAATTATAATTGGCCAGTGAATTTTCTTACGGTGAGCTATCATTTTCAGTAATAAGCATCAAAAGCATCGTTCAATATACAGAGGCAGACATTCAATATACATTTGCTTTACTATTGTGGTAAAGCAAATAATTGTCTTCCGACTTACGCTTCTAACTCTAGATCTTAAGGGAAGATCATTCGAATCAATGATCAGAACGCATCAAGAAGTTACATGAGCATCAAATTCTATAGGAATAAATCAGACGTTTTATGACTGAGAGAAAATCACACGTGCTTAATCGCTTTAAATTGAATTTCAAGAAAAGTATTAAATGATTTGAATCGAGATTTATAAGGTAAATGTACAAAACGAGATGACTTAAATTGCTCCATCATCGTCTGTTCGATTGACCAGCAAGTAATTTTTAGCGCATTTTCTCATTTATGGAAAAAATGCACTATTGTGCTCGCCATGTCCGTCTGTCTGTCTGTCTGTCTGTCCGTCTGTCCGTCCGTCTGTCCGTGACCTCAGATTTTCGTCGACGAGAAAATGCGCTCTCTGTCACTCACTGCAGTGAGTACTGAGATATATTTCGTTATGTATTGATCATTCTTACTTCAAATAGTTCGTCGAAACTATAATTTCCAATTTCATTCCTGATTTCTTCTTAGATTGCCATTTTGAAACCAACTAACTAAGATTATTATTTGATAACACGATAGAGTCATTTTTCATGGAACATTGATGTCAGGAGACAAAGGCGTCAGATCTAGCACGGTAGACAATAATGGTCTATTGGGCTAGCACATTTGGCGCCTCGTGCAGAACTGCAATGGCCAGATTAGAACAATAAACAATAAGTTGCCTTTCAACGGACCCTGATATCAGCCTAACTTGCGCCGGAGCACCTCTGATCTTAAATTCACTAAGCTTTACGTTGCACCCATTCTGAGGAGCTTTCCCATTCTCTCTTCCTTTCTTACTCTTTTTCCCTTCCCTTCTTATTATTCCCTTTCATAGGGAATAATAATAAGGGAAGGGAGAGCGAAGTAGGGAATTACCTACTTCGTTCTCCCTCGAAACAAATAAATTTTTCATGTTGCCTCAGAACTTCATTGTCATCGCCCCAATCAAGTTCCATCTAACAATGCATCTTCCTAATAGCATTTTTAATTCAGTCAGATTTTTTAATGTGGAATATAACTCCAATAAGGTTTCGGACAATTGACAAGTCTTGATCAAATGATCCTCTTGGGCACACTTAAGTGGTCTAACCGAGAGATATTTATTCAGTAAAAGCTCGATTCAAGTGTGGAGTGGGATACTTAATTCCACCACATTCATTCACGAGTAACTATGCTCAGATAATTTGATGTCGTTTTCTAATTTCACAATTCAGCAATGAAATGAAAGTACTGGCAGCATCTGCACACTGCGCAACTCGTCGATTTCGTCTCGTGTCGACCCACGCATTTCACTGAAAAGTCTATTGAGAATTTTTACTTTCTAATGTAATAACAATCACACTGAAATGAAAACTGATTCACTATAGCTCGAGAACTACATTGACGAAAATCAAAGGCAGCAGTAAAGCAAATAAAAAGAACTTTTTACTTGATAAACTTAAAGATTTTAACGTCTTAATTCAGACGACCAATTTGTAAATTTAGGCCATCATCTGGTGCAATCATCATCTTTCGCTTTCTATATCGGATTAATCCCATTTTCTAATTTATCTTAAATTTTAATCGATCACAAATTAAAATATTGCTTGTGAGCGGAGCAGTACCGACGATTGATAGAAATGTCAATTATGATCGATAGAAATGATGTCATATACTAATTTATATTTGTTAGATATTTCTGACCTGAGCTATATTTGGTTTGTCAACTGTATCTCTGCGGGCATCTACAGTCATACGAGGAAAAAGTAGAAGAGGTCGGCATGAGGTCAGGAAATTGAATGATAGCGCGACAGGAAATTAGACACTCGCTGACAAATCCAGCGAAAATATTGTCTGGCGTTTTCTACGGTTGAGGAAAACAAACTTATAGCATCAGAAAATATTAGACCGCTCTGAACAGTTGCGTGACGGCACACCTTACGAGAATAAATTATAGATTCCATTTTAACACTAATTGTTCGTTATGAAAATTAATATATATGTATGTAAATACAGATGGATATGTTACACATTAATGTCATTTAGTTGGAGCTTATTTTACTATGATTCACATCTTCCGATTTGCTTCAACATTTAACCAATTTTATGAGGTGTTCTTCCAAACACAACTCCTCGGGGGAGTTAAATAAAAATGCAGAACATACCGTAAAAAATTAAATATAAGAACTGGATGTTAAATTCTATAATTTGATGAATGCGAAACGCAATCTTCAAATTATTTAATAGATCTCGTATTTGTAAACAGTATCTGGCTCGTGAAAGTCAACTATGGTTTATTGCTAAATACAGGAAGCTTTACATTCGGCCTATCTTATACCGTTATTTGTTATGGAATAAGATTTCCATGGTATCTGTAGATACAGCAACCAGCCCGCCCTCTGACCCGACACCCGGTGATCCCGGCACGGCTGTAAAAGATGGCTTCATGGCACGCCATGCCCGTATGATGCGCCGCGTGATGCAGTGTTTACACCAAACCAACTCACGCTTCTCCGACATGTGAGCAACTACGAACACTATTGAGGAATCTTAGTACTAGTTTCATTACTTTAATTAATAGCATTTTTCTGTTAATTCTTCTATCCTTTGAAGTTTAAGTAGAGCAAATTAACCATCAACACTGTCAGCAGTATTTGACGTGCAAGAAGTGATGGTTAGCGGTACAAGTAATGGACACCGACGTGAAACATGTGGCCGGAAAATCAAATGATGCAGTACAAGAATAATAAAAATGTCTCACAGAGCGTGCAGCAGGCGCTAAGTAGGAAAAACACTCTCGAGATTTGGCCACGTACGTGTTATTTATTACTTCTCTCGGGAATGAAGACAAGAAATTTGACTAAACCACATGAATATAGAAGATCATCGAAAATAATCTCTATGATTCAATTATGGTTCAACAAAGGGAATCCAAAAATTCCCTTATTTTCATAGAGAAAATATTCTTCGGGAATGGAAACGAAAAAAAATATTGGTAGCAACGAAAACAGAAATGCAACAATGTATTAATTAGCATACGGGTGTGGAATGAAGTGCATGTTGAGATCTCCCGGTAAAATGAAGTAAGCGTTAGAAAATTTCTTTCTATATTACAAGCCAATATGAATGAAAGTTAAGTATGAGTAATTAAATATATTACACAAAAAATAGTTCGATATAAGGATCATTTGAAACTATTCTTCACGATTTATACTTGAACTTGTATCTCGAAATTGTGGTTGGAGGCCTTTGGTGTAGCCGTTAAGATATTCATGGATAAAGGGAAAGCGTGTTTACCAAGGTCGCCGTTGCCCACAAACCGGAATGTAGGATTTGAAGGAGAGTTGATCAAGGAGTGGCGGAACACGGCAACCGACAAGCCCATAGTGTTTTCTCTCTACTTCTATACGGAAATTTTTATTTCACCAGTTACAATGCTCAGACTAGGTAATTTTGATGCAATAAGTTCATGAACTTCTGAAAATCTATATTTTAAAGTTCAATAATGTGTCATAGTTAAGCGATACATTGCAAGACAAATACATCAATTCCACTATATTTCATACGTTAAAATTTTCAATATAAAACAGGTGGCAAAACAATGCGTCCAGATGTATCAATTTGGCAAGCTTAATCTCATAAGCAATCGGTAAACTGAAAAGGAAACAATTAAAGTGGTAAATATGAATCAGTAACATGCAGAAACGATTTCATTTTTTTGAAAATTGACTGATAAAGTATCATCTAAAAATGACACTGAATTCGTGACCGCTGTATTCTGTATTCTGTTTTCGTGACTGCTGGTCACGTAAAGCGCCTTTAGACAAACAAAGAAGGCAAGACTATAAGAAATGCTGCAGCTGAACCACGACGTATAACACGCAGCAAACACCAGCTCTTGAATTGAAGACTCACGACTTAGAAAACTTCATTGTTTGTCACTCAATCGTATGGTGAGGCGCATGACTGCGCATATTATAGTACCTGAAGAGATTCATTGGACGAAGTATTATAGCGACGAAGCATCGAATGAAGCATCAAAGCCTTTCTTTCAATGGCAGAAGAATAATCTGCAAACAATACTCAAACCGTTGTCCTGCCTAAACTTAATCAGGATTAAAAAAGTGCAATGATTGTTCCTGGTGGCGTTTATTATTAATTACAGCGCAGAAGATGAAAGGATATGATTACTCTTAATGTAAAACTCACACAAATTTTTTTCATAACGAATTTTCATGATACGATGATTAGTGCCACTTGCTGCATCGAACGGGTTAAAATAGAAGTGGTGGTATTACCTTATAGGCTGTCAGAACAACTCGTACAGTTGTGGATACTTTTTGTATTGATCGCTCGGATTTCAGTTTGCTATTCCCGCTTAGTTCAAATCTTATTAGCATTAGACAATGAATAAAACGAAAAATTATTGCGTGCGTGTGATCCCATCGAGTGGCACGTTGTTATAGTAATACTGCATCAACAACGCATAAGCGCCAGTACAAGATTTTTCATAGCAGAGCGCGTGTTGACATCATATGGATAGAATAGGGAAATCCCCCAAATAGGAGAATACTAGCTAGCACATATTTGCTACGTAAAAACTACTGTCTAACATAGTGCAAAACAGATAAAAATTTCATCGAACTGACTAGTGCAGCACATGACACTTGAGGTCACGGTTTCCGGTCCGCACTTCCAGGTTGCAGTACGAAGCAGTATTCGTTGAAGAGTTAACACCTACACATTACTCCTCGAACTGAAATCTGTGGTTCTGCCATTTTTTAGCTTCCTACACAACAGACCTGATATATGTGTTAATTCACGCCAAATTTATTCATTCATGAAAATTTTTCTTTCGTGAAAATTTCAATTCATCAATTCGAGGACTACATCAACTGAGTGGAACATTCAGAGCCTAAAGCAGTAAAAGCGCTTCACAATATTCACATCATACCCACCCTCCCCCCCGGAGTAGGAACCTTCAAGTAGTCCTACAAACCACGCTCATCCTGGTGGCTCTGGCCCCACGTAGCCTAAAGGATATATTAAAAAAATATAACTCAGTACTCACTGCAGTGAGTGACAGAGAGCGCATTTTCTCGTCGACGAAAACTTGAGGTCACGGACAGACGGACGGACAGACAGACAGACAGAAGGACAGACGGACAGACGGACATGGCGAGCACAATAGTGCATTTTTTCCATAAATGAGAAAATGAGCTAAAAAGATTCCAGCACAACCAAGCGGGACTCACAACATTCTCGTGCGGTGCGAGATTTAATAAGAAATGAGGTCAGTGTGAGAAAAATATCTTTCACAATTTAAGGATAACTTGTACAAAATTCGTTAAACATTTACTGAAACCGGAATCAGATGACGCGGCGGCATAATTTAAATTGAAGTATTGCGACGATTACCCTAACTCATTTGCACACAAGGGTCGGGATAAATATACATGTATGTCAATTCGTGACCCAAACACGGCTGACAACCAAGAACCTCCGTTCTTATCAAATTAAAGGAGCGCCAAAACTGAGCCCTAATTAGACGCTTTTATATTCGTGTTATATATCCATATTCGTATTATATTTATTAATTATATTATATATTATCCATATTCGTTTTATATTCGTATTATATATCCATAACAATACTGTGGTACGATGTTCAAATTTCAGCATAAACTGCAGCACGTGGAACATGAATTCTAAATAATTCAAACACCCTAATTTATTCAGGCGACCAATTTTCCATCACAACCCTCTGAATTGCTGAAACCAAAATTGTTGCTGTATAATATTAGGATATCAACGGTAACTCATGCATCGAGCACAAATTGAGGCAACCCTGAATTATTATGTGACTTAATGACGAGATCAGAAATTCGGCGGCATGTCAGGCTTGAAAATAATTCCGCATATTTACTTAAATAAAAATCACCTGCAAAATAGAGACTATGAAAAGAAAACTTAATAATGACCGGACTTCACTTTTAAGTCAGCTTATATGCAAATTCTGTTACCCCACCGTACGGTACGAAAGTCCTTCTTCAAATAAATAAAAATTGGAATAAACAGAACATAAGATTAATCAGAAACTATCCAGCACAGTATTCAAATTCCAACAGAAGTAGTAAATATGTTAAAGCACTAGCATCTTCATTGCATTCAAAGCTAGCCGTCCTTGAATACCCGAGCGTTTTCCAGGCTTGGCTAACACTGGCAATGATGTAACACCTCACCTCACAACGTTCTCAACCATACTGAACTGATGCAGGAGTGCGCGGACGACTCAAGTCAGAAAATCCGGAATCCGGAATGACTGTAACATCATTTTGAAAACTATTTTAAGTTAAAATAATCGTCCCTTATCTTACTCTGATGTACAACAACGCAAGTCCACCAATCCTTACATCAAAAAATTGGCCTTTCACGATGTATTTCAGAACCCACCTTTATGCTAGTCGTTTGAAACGGAGAAAAATGCAAGTAGTAAATTTTTTAAAATTTTTACTGATTTTTGGCGGTCACACGAGCGTTTTTAGAACTTTGACCAGCAAATCTAATCTACTTCTAACTTTAATCGAGAATTTGTATGACAAATTGCTCATGCCTAGCTCAGCTCGCCCAATAAATACGTTTTTAAATAATTTAAATCTTTCAACTGTGACTTTCTAACTATAATGACCACTAAAATATTTCAGTATTCATGGTCTAAAAGTTTCAGTCGAGTTAAATGCTGCAAAGAATGCGACTTCAAGAAGTGTCCTAAGTAACATATGGACGTCTGGACCAACAGGATTTTTTCTTTGTTTTAATATCGAAGTTCGATCCCGTTTGATGCCTAGAAATTTGTTTATATTATCAGCACCTATGTCGCATTTATGAAGAAAAACTGATAGCGGTCGGTTAAACGCTGTATTGATCGAAACCCACAATACAATATGTGGCAGTTATCAAAGAAATTTCGTCATTGTTAAAGGCATTGAATTCTTTGGCAGGAAATTTTTCGATCTTGGATTTGGAATTTAATCAGAAGGAAAATTCAAACAACTCCTCATGCTACTGGGAACAAAATTCACTCAGTTCAATATTCAATATGAATATTTAACTCAGATGGTTCAATATTCAGCCAACCATCTTAACGAATAATTATCAAATAATACTTAATGCTGAATAGTTCTCGGCTTTAAGTTTAAATATTTTTCCGCTTGTCCAGACAATAAACATTTGCCGTGTTAGCGATGCTGCAGTCAATTAACTCTCCTGTAGATTGTCATCACATTCATGTTAGATTTTCAGTCCATCGTAAATCAAATTAATATTATAATACTAACAAACAATGAGTGGATAGGCGACTGATCACCAGGAATGAGGTGGAAGGTACACGATCCGTTGCTTTCCATGACTAACTTAACAATTACTCGAAAAGGCAATTTTCAGCTTTGTATTTAGCAGCTAATTTACTTCGAATTAGAACGTTTCTTAAAATTTGAACACCTTCTCGAACAAAAAACAAATCACGGCAAGCAAAAACATTATTAATCCCGAATAAATCTTAGGATTTGAATACTATATGATGTAATTATTTATTGATCAGCTCTGTAACGACTGTAATACAGAGTCAAGGAAATTGTAGTGCGTGGTAAGCGTATACCGCAAATATTTACACCAAGCATAAAGCTACCAGGGAGTGATAAAGTTTCTAGTTTCTGACAATCTGGAATGGAAAAAACTATCAAAAATTTCCCACAGCACTGCCTAAACATGAAAATGTAGCAACACAACAAATTTATGAAAACCCTATCCTGCGTGATGCCGGAATTTTCAAACTGTTGCTGCGGTTTCAACTTTAGATTCACCTTCAACATCCTCATTTCATAAAATCTTATCATAATATATAATACATATTTCACACAACAATTTTAGTATTTAACAAGATGATAGCCATAGAAGTCAGTAGCCATTCAATGCAGTGAAGGCTGCACCTCGCTTGCGAGCTACCTGAAGAGTCTGGAAATTTAAAAAAATGGCTTAGAAAGTGACACTCGACCTCATATTTTCAACAGCAGAGAAGGTATGTGATTCATTAAATATAAATCGTTTATGATGACACAAAAATGAAAATGAAATTGTCAAAAAATCCTTGAGGTTCAGAGTAAGTATATTTTAAAACTGTCGTTGAAAAGGATTTTAACGTATAAATAAATAAAAACGATTGAATTTCAATCAATAATATTTTTTCAAAATGTTAAAGCAATTCACAACGATTAATTAGCGTACAAACCAAGTCATCCTCATTAAGTGTGTAAAAAAAGAGGTATGTGATCGTTTACTTCTAGTTTTCTCGAAGTATTCATTTAAATTTCTGAAGCATAATTTCCAAAATACTTCATAGGACCTCGCCACATAAATTCTTTGAAGGGCATTCGCATTCGCAGGATAAATTCAGGTCAGAGGCGCTTGTATTATCCATATTTTTTATAATAATGCAAAATTACGAAAAGTTTTATGCGATAAAACACTTTGATTGATTTTTCAGCAAGAACTTCGAGAACTTATTTTATATAATAATCTCTCTATAATAATTTTTCTATTTAATGACAGTTGGCCAAATTCAGTCTCACATCTAACTATATTGTGTTTTTGTATTGTAATTGTAATTATAATATAATGTAATTAGATAATTCACTCCCTGAACTTACGAATATGATCAGTTTCCACTTCCGACTCGCCGAGCAGTAAAGTCATCACCACTTTGCTCTCAGCTTCGTAGCGCTCAAACGCGTCGTCGCTCCGCAACCCGCGGTCGATGTCGTCCTCGAATGCTTCCCTCTCTTCCAGGCCAGCGTTACCCTGCTTCAAAAAAACATTCCATGGACTCCACAATTTATGGTAAAAAACTGAGGATATACTTAGCGTAGTAAGAAATTAGTCTCTGTGGTATGAAAAATATCATAATATTGTTAAATCAATTTGCAGTGACGAATAAGGTTGAGTAAAAGATAAATCACTAGTATCGATATTGGTATTTTAATTTCAATTTAAACAGCAGTAAATATAGTAATGAAAATTAGTCTGCTAACAGAGGTAAAGTTATGAATCATATCGGAACTCCGCATATTAAGTTTGAATAGGTTCATCGCAGATTTACTTATAAAATTTCTCGAAAATGCGCTTGAAGCAGTTAATTTAAATGGAATTATGCAAATTGTGAACGAAGACGTTCAAGTCTACATTTATTCTGCTAAGTTTTCTCGTGAGCTTACGTTGACTCTTACCTCTTCAGCTGGCCTGCTGTTGTTTTTCCATTGCGTGTCGCAGAGGTTGGTTGAGTGGTCGACCGGGACGAGTTTGCTGGTGTCGACGAAGTTATTGTAGAAATAATCATTGCACTTATTTAATATATTTTCTGGGGGGTTAGGGTCGCGGGTTGTGATGAAGAAAAGCTCGACCCTAAGACCCATGACGATCTGGAAGCAGGTGTATGTGCAGGCGTAGCTCACGTAGTCTGTCGCGGCGACATTGTACTCCACATGAGGAACTGCGGTATAATAATCATGTCTTATTTAATATCTTACTGGTTGATGACTTAAAAATTAGCAATGGCAATTGATTGTTTTTCTCAAAAAATGCCTAAGAAATTAATTCTTGACAGATTGTTGCAAGAGTTGTTTTAAAACTTGATTCCATATTTGAACTGAATAACGCAACCAATATTACCGAATAAATTTTTAGATTCGGTCTGACAAGAAGCCTCCTTGTAACAAAGACATTATTCTGAAATTTAACAATTTTTAAATAGATTCCGATTTTTAATTATTGTTGGAGACCACTTCTCTCGCATAAGCCGTTTCCAAGAATAATAGTTTTTCAGATCTATAAATGATTCTACACAAAAATTTTAGTCCATTGGTCTTCGGCCGTTAATAGAATTTTTCTAGCGTAAGTTTGTAATTTATGCATATTAATCATGCATTTAACTTGAGACTTGAGGGTGTCCCGAAAAAGAAACAAATGAACAATTTTAAGGAACTTAAAAAACAGCTCATACTCCAGCTGAATGAAAAAATATTTATAATAAAGGTATTATAATCACTATCACAAATAAATCTTAATTTCAACATTATTTAAAAGGACATGTAGCCAGCGCCTATTACACATTCCTTCTCTCCACAGTCTAACATCACGTACATTACCCTTGGTGTGCACGACTGTACTTATAATCTTTTCAAAAGCAATCTTATAATTTCATATCCCATTAAAAATGGGCACACAGTTCGTAGGAACCAATGTATAACTGTTGAAACGGATTAATGAGCAAGCTGGCCCTCTACATGATGAATTTGGAACGAATTCGGCATCGATAAATTAAGAGTCTGAATAAAAACAAATGATTATATCTCGTTTCATGGCAATATAGACTCACGATTGTCTTTGATCATCACATAATACGGAATCTTTTTGACTCACGATTGTCTTTGATCATCACATAATACGGGGTTGTATCGTTCCGCGTTCTTGCGCTCAGGAAAAACGTTTGCTTGATGTTCATGTCATCAGCGCTCCTGGACTCTGAGGTCAGATTCAGCCCTGCATCTGAGAATGAAGAAATGTGTAAGGAAAACATGGATAAAACTAAATACGTTAACGAGAGTTGAATGCACACGCAAATAATTTCTGCCTCAAAAATTTAATTATGCTGAAGAAACGTTGATTGTTCATCTAAGAAGAGGATGCGTACAAAATTTAAAAAAAAAGAAATATCTTTTTAAAATTGTAGAAGATTTCGAGATCGTTTTTCAATTCCGATTCATATAAGAAACTGCCAAAAATTTAATTATGCTGAAGAAACGTTGATTGTTCATCTAAGAAGAGGATGCGTACTAAATTTAAAAAAAGAAATATCTTTTTAAAATTGTAAAAGATTTCGAGATCGTTTTTCAATTCCGATTCATATAAGAAACTGCAAAAAAATTAATTATGCTGAAGAAACGTTGATTGTTCATCTAAGAAGAGGATGCGTACTAAATTTAAAAAAAGAAATATCTTTTTAAAATTGTAGAAGATTTCGAGATCGTTTTTCAATTCCGATTCATATAAGAAACTGCCTTATCAAGGAGTCATATTGGCGGAGCTATCAGGAAAGCTAGTCAGCATGGCACGGATATCTCGAGTTTGTTATCAAAATGGGGCACCCTTTTTCTACGAGGGCCTTTGATTACGTAAAATTATATCAGGATGACACGTTTACTCAAATCAAAGTCCATGGAATCGTTATATCGTCGTCTATTGAGCGATGAAATCATTCTCGACATGTATATCTAATCATCAAATAGTTGAGCTGTCAACCGGTTGAATGGTATTTAATTAGAAGTGACTATCGAGAATAACAATTCAGATGCATAGATTGTTAACTTAAATTATTGATTTACCTGTAAATTTGTTGACGGGTTTCAGTAAAAAATTTTTAGTTACTTCGGAAATTGGGAATGATAAATTAATAATGACGATACACTACAAGAAATAATCAATAGTTTCCAAAGATGGAAAATGAAAATTTGCTATAGAATTAAGATTAACGCCAGGATCACAAAACAGAATTGAGATAAATTAATGCATACACTACAAATTTCTGTCGCGATATCATTGCTTGAACTACTTTAGGCCATAGTTCTGTATGCAATTTCCAAAATGTATGAGAGGAATTACTTTTCACGACAAAATTTGCTAATTAATCGGAATTTTAAATGCGATCAAGTAGCAACTGATGAAAGTCAAGACAATTTCCAATATTGGGAGGGAAATAATCACAAGCAGAAGGTCTATATTTGACGAAGCTCAACGCTTGTTCCAATTGTAAAATTGGAATCATATTCATAAGTGAAATGGTGCAAACGCTAAATAAATTTATATCAGAGTACAGTGAAATTCATACTGTCGAACTTCATATTGTCGAAAAAAGTAAAAATTTAATTTATATCGGCCTGTGAAAAATTAATTAAAGTTTTTATTTTGTACTAACCAGTTTTAGCGAAGGTTATCTCAGTGCACTGGCCCTCCTCGCTGAAGGGGCTAGGCACCTCCATCTGTTGATACCACGTGCCCAAGAACTGCCAAGTATTCCAACTTCAATTAGCTAACAAACTCAAAATTTTCGTTAAGAGGCATTTCTCGTTTTGATTAGAAAGAATACCACGTCTTGAATTTAAGAGCAAAGAAAATAGCAAGAACATTCACCATTTCTTTGTATTTAAGAGCAAAGAAAATAGCCAAAAATTCACAATTTCTTTGTATTTAAGAGCAAAGAAAATAGCCAAAAATTCACCATTTCTTTGTATTTAAGAGCAAAGGAAATAGCCAAAAATTCACCATTTCTTTGTATTTAAGAGCAAAGAAAATAGCCAAAAAATTCGCCATTTCTTTGTAAGAGAAAACATTTCGGAATTTATCTGCGTCGTCAGTTCGAAATCCCAAACAACATAAACAATTAATTGGTAAACAAAAATTCACATTGATGACGTTAAAACCTACATCAACGTATGAAAGCCCAATTAAACATGAGAAGACAGGCCCATTTATTTACAATTTCAAGAAGATAGTTGGTGAATAACATATGAAATTTCTCCAAATAGCGATATACGTGCAAAGAAGGCTCAACCATAGTTTACTGCATGAATTTATGTAACATGGACGATAACAAAAATTCATACGAAGCAAGGTGTGCTCATCAGGCAAAACCATATGCACCCATACTGTTTCACAAGCTATCATATCAGACATGTTTTTACAAAAATATAAATAGCACTATCTGCACCATTTATCTATGCATTTATAGCCTTATAATATCTACGCTGACATAGTTTGTGAGACGAACATCTAATTTGGTCTTGCTCTCTTCACTGTTACCTCCTACATGTTAGAGTCATGGATGGTGCAAGTAGGTTTCAGCAATTTTCTGTAGCACTCAAGCATCTTCTTATAGTCTTCTGGTTTAAAATTAGGATATTATCGTATGGAATGTAAACCAACGCTTGATAAAATTAGTATTTGAAGTGATCAACTGAATTATTCCGCTGATGTAGTTAGTCCAGACTTAATCGTGGTTACTATACTTTTGCCTTTACTATATTTAAACTTATTCTACTCAACGTCTCTGTCTTAAAATATCATTTCAGTATGTATTTATTGGATGTTTTATTATTTACCTTATCAACATCGAAGTCTTTGACCATACTCAAGTCGGCGCACCATCCCATGTCTGCCACGGACGGGGGAGACAGGTTCGTAGGGTCCACCGCAGCAGCGGCAATAACAGCGGCAACAACAGCGAATAACAGAACAATACGTAGACTCATTTTTAATCTGTACATTTTGTTGAATTTCTCGTGATTTTATTATAACTTTTTTTAGTCTGGAAGCTACCAACTAATTTCATTTGTTTCTCTCTTGTATTGCACAGTTTCGACATCGGTAGCTCTACTTTCTAGAAGATGTTTAAGACGTAATTAGTTTAATATTTAGACATTGTTTTTTTTCTAATACAGTAATTGTAATTAATTCTGGGTTATTACCTAATATAATATTTGTAATATTTTTAAAACCATACCATATTTTATTTTGTGAGGTTATTCTGGATTCAAAAATGTCACAACATTAGGGATTGTATTTGCTTATACTGTATAATGAAGAAAAAACAGATAATAAGTTCCATTTCTGGCTTGAAGTTTGATTTCTCTCTTCAGTGTGTAATATACTGAAGTAATATATACTAATATATTAATATATTAAAATATATTAAGTTCAAGTATTTGTAAATGAGCTGAATTTCATGCCTTTGGGTAATTATATACTATGGATTTTAATCGTTCGAGATATTTTTTACAATTAAAATTTGTACTTGATGTAATACGTGTACCTTAATTAATCTTTGAACAAAGTGAACTTCTTTTTCACTCATTGGAAATTAATAGCTCTACAGTTAATCTGCTCGAAATAGATGATCAATAAGTACATGTCATCTACAGGCATCTTGCACTCGTCGGCACCCGGTTTGCAACAATACTTATCTCTTTTCCTCCTTTACGATAATGTTCATGTCGTACTGATACTGCTTCGTAAATAGAACGTACATTCATAGGCTGTCTGCCGCAAAGTTCAGTGGATCGACACGCAACAACGTGCGATTAAAAAGTTCCCCTGTTTCGTTGTCCGAATTAGTAAGAAGATTTACCCCCTAATTCAGATGGCTATGTTTCAAACCAACAAAGGCGGTTACATGAAAACTCTTATTATTAATTTTGTAAGTAAATGTAGCCAGGTTGTTCATTGGTGGCCGATAAAAAGCTGGTGGTTGGCGTCTCCGTCTCCGTAAATAGAGTGCGATTTTTCCAAAAAATATTTCGGTGAAAAATTGTATAAAAATACGGACTCACTAATATATATACTGTATATATGCTATGCTCACATGAGACAAATGCAGCACATTGGGCACGGTTTTCTACTACTACTACTAGGAGTAGTATAGTATCTCATACTCCTAATAAAAGAACTATGAATCAATAGTATGCTGGTTGAACGCTCAGATTTCTCCTCTCATTGGCACGAGTTATTTTTAAGATAACGAGACGTAGCACTGGTGGAAGAATACTCTAAATGTCCATCCTATATAGGAGCCATTTATGTCGAGGCACGGCTGGTGGAAGGACATTAATAGAGGATCGCCACGCAGCAGCTGGGGCAACAAAAATACATTGAGGCTCTTATAAGCTGACAGCAAAATCAAGAAGACCATCTTGACAAGTGTGCTAGGGAACAGTCACGCAGGGACTACGAGTTTAAACACCCAACGTCGCAACGTCACGAGTGAACATCCGCCATCCCATGTTTCATTTCGCCTGCTATTAATCAAAGAAGTTGTAAAAATGCATGACTGAAGATTATCAGAACTTTGGAACGGCATCCTTAGTGAATGATACTTCTATTAGGTTTTTCCCGTTAACCGGTAGTCCTATCAACGAAGAGATTTTGCACTAACAATCAATGAAGAAGAGAAGATGAACTAAATAATTACGTGAATGAAGTCTCGAGTGAACTTAGTCAGAAAGTGAAAGTATCGTGAAGACTCAAGCTTTTGTGTCAATAAAGGATCAAACTGTAACAAATAAAAGCTTTTGGCTCACCTTCCTCTCATTTCTCACCTTCACCTCATCAAACTTTATTATATTAAAACAAGCGATTCGGTAGTCTTGCTTAGGTTAGGTTAGGTTAGGTTAGGTAAGTAAGCACCTCGCACGTGTAAGTCTAGTGAAGGAAGCAAGTCACACGCACAAGCGACGTTGTTGCACGACAAGTGATGCGCGTGCAGACTTTGTCACGATTTATATCAGTGTTATCTGGCCTTAGAGACAAGGCCGTGCTATCTTATATATTATGCAATAAGTGACGCAGCGGCGTCGTGGATATAATTTTGCAAGGTTCTGTTAACAAAAAATTAATGTCGATAATTAAGGACTACAGATAAATGAACGAAAAACTGTAAACTTATATGCCATATACAGTCTTTCTTAAATGGGACGAAATATTTTAAAGATTGTTTGAAAATTATTTTAAGCAAAGAAGTGCAGGTACTCCCACTAACAAAGAAATGCGAATAAATTGTATAGAAATACACACAAAATAAACGCTAAATAGTGAAAAAAGAGTTGGGTACCTCTAAATTCAATTTTTATTCATCACTCTTCACCGTCAATTTTTATCAGGCTAGGGTTTGTTTATAAAATTTATTAATTACTGAATTTTCTTAGCTGCTAATTACGCTTCTCTAACTTCATTGTCGTGCGTATAGTGGCAGGTTCTGGTGCCAGGTGATAAACCCAACAATCATTAAAATACTTTATTGCACATCAATCATCATTACAGACTTTCTGCATAAACTGGGATACGTAGCACATGTTCACGTGGCACACAGGTAATTAACAGTCTCCGTTCAAACAGCAACGTTCCACAACACGTGACGATATCTTCCTCATCAAGTCCACGGTCTTACTGCTCGTTCCTAATCCGCAATCTCTATTCTCGATTCCAACTTTCTCTAAAACATTCTTACAATACTAATTCTAGTTAATTACAAATTTACAATACCTATATATTTAATAGAAGCCTTATATTCCAACAGTAAAATACAATTTAAAACAAGCCCTCTACATCATCCGAAGAATAAATATTAGTCTACATAGGGTGTTCTGCCGTGGGTGTTTATATAGGCAGTCCTGATAAACATTAGTTATGGGTTGTATCAAATTATACGAGCTGCTAGTGACAACCTAGTTTGTTCAAATCTCAATTTAAAAAATTGCTATTTCTAAAGTTATCATTGCCAATTGCCAGTACTATCCGTCATTTAACCGATTGACAACTTGCCTGCACCAACGTCCAAGTATTTCTACCATTTTGCTCTAAACCTGTCTCTCAATTCTTTGGTTTGTATGATCGAATGTTCTAAGAATTTCGTTTTATTTTTTGCTCTATTAAATTCATTTATTTAATCTATTGTGGAGTTATACTCAGTTTAAATCTTACAATTTCAAATTCTAATTGAAACTTTCATAGTGAAAATTTATTCATTACTTATTCTAAATCAAATCAATCGATTCTAATTTGGTGTTCGTTGCTCAAGAAGTGCGCTACTGTATTACGTCACCTGCAAAGATCACTATTCAAACTTTAGCCTTATGGCTTTATCTCAAATTTCTGGAGCATCAAAACCTTCAACCGTTCTTGCTATTTTTCCCTTCCAACATCTCACCCCTTAAACTGATTTCTGCTATTATCCTCCGATTATTCTTCCTTCATGAAGTGATCACCACATTGGGCATTTAAACCTCAGGTTCGTCGTGTTGTCTGTGCAAAATTGCAATTTTGGTCATCTATTTTAACTATAATTTGTTTATCCGGGCATTTTTGCAATATTTATAATTTAAAGTTATTTCTTCTACAGTATTTCTTCTGATCCTGAGACTGGCCGGCCTTACTTTATTCTTACGTCACACATTCGTTACGTATTCTTTCAACCCGTCACCTTCAACTTCTTGTTTGCCCTATTCTTAATTTTGGCATTCGGCTCTTAACCACCGTACTTTCTTCGTATTACAAGGAAAAAAATTCCCTTTAAATCAAACTCAAAACTTCGTTGAATAAATTAAAGTAAAGGCTTTCTTGATTATTTCTTAAATTTTACACCCTGTCGATTGTATGAATTCTGATTCGAATAGATCTTTGAGATTCCAATCAGAACTTGAATTCTCTCAGCCTCACTCGCACTGTGTTAATGCACTGTTCAGTTATTAACTTCAAATGCAGATAACTTCGATTGCAGCAAACTCAATGTTTAGTGAAATCTTCGTTTCCCGTCATAAATTTCAACCAAAATTTGGCCTGATTTTTGTAGGTAGTTACAAAAAAAAATCAGAGTAGACAAGCCAACTTTGCTGGGAGTCTTCAGAGCTGTAATCTACCGCCTTAATGGCAAATGAAGTAATTTACAGTTGGCTTTTAGAATGATCAGTTTTAAAACTATTGGGTAATCGTAATTCTATCCCGGAATTTCAAAATGGTCCCTTTTCATTCATAGAACTCTTGATTTCTCACTTAGATGACCTAGGTCATCTTGCTGGGGCAAATATCTAGCGAATGATAAATCATAAATTACGAATAATTAATAAAATATAGTAATAAAATAACTCTTCTGTTCGATTAACTTCAATTGAATTGACATAAGTAAAAACTATCAGTGTATTAATAAATACAATTTGGAGATAAGTAAAGATACGTGAGAACAATAAATGAACATGAACCAAATACTCAAATATATCGCTGGTTATTATATTCAGATTGCAAATTAATGCATATCGGGCACGCCGCAATTATGGCTGTACAGAATACACGGACGACAGGGGGCCATACTTTCAAAAATCGCTAAGTGAACGTAAGTTCTTACGCTCTATTTTCTTGTCCATGATTGGTGGATTTTGCTTGAAAGGCCGTCAATGATTGGCTGATGAACTTACGATCTCTTAACTTTTTTTGAAAGTATAGGCTCAGTTCCTGCCCCACGTCGCTTGTTTGTCTACATTTTCTACGATGGCTGCTGAGATTGCCGATTCTCTGTATCCGATTCTCTGGCTAAACAAAGTTTTTTTTTCTAAATGGCCGCGTTCATACAGATGCTTTCCAGGAGTTCTATTCCCACTGAGTTTACCTTCGGTTGCTTGCTTGCTCATGGCTACCCCCCTTCCATAGGTCTACCGGTGAGTGCGGTGGGTCCCAACCCCTCTGTTTGGCCGAGGTGTCAAACCCCTCTGTTTGGCCGAGGTGTCAAACCCCTCTGTGTCAGTGCCCTGGGGTTTATGCTCTCTTATCCCCAGTTGGCAGTGATGCATTGCTGTCTAAAATTACCCAGAAACCTGTGTGCATTCGTTTGAAAAAATTATTCGTTATTTAATTATTATTTAAGTAA